GAAACCTCAGAGCCATGTGTCTGTATAGCACAGTGTTTTTACAAAGTATACAGAATCTACAAAGTCCTCTTGCAGAATAGTGAGGAAATTTTGGCATCCAAAGTATTGTTAACGTGCCAAGGAATTACAGATTTTTAATGATTTTATCCTGGGTATCCAAAAACAATCGTTAAACAAAATCAGGCTTTGCTGTGTTCACATGGATGCTAACAGAGGATTAAAGCAGAAAGCTGGAGAGATGACCTCATGAACCTGCTGCTGCTCCCTCATTGTCCAGTTACAAGGTGGGGGCAGTGAATGATCATGCTTAAAGTCGTATTAAACAATAAAACAAAAATGTTATATATTACAGCTTACAAATCCTTAAATGTGGTGGCTACATTAGTTTTCTTTTCTTCCTTTATTTTCACCTGGTGGTTTGGCCAATAACACATCTCCTTTCTTAGTGTGTCTGGAGGAGCCACCTTTGAAAAGCAGCATTGCATTGTCAATCTGAAAAGAGGGTAGTGTTAGACTAGCAGATTTAGGTTGCCCTGACTAATGAACTAAAGCCAAACTTCTGCTAACACTTTTTAAAGCAGTTACAGCAAACGTTTTTCTTCTTTTTGGGGAAAAGATTTTACATAGTGTAGTACTCACCCCTGAAAGGGCAGCTGTAAATACACCAGATCTCCCTTACCTTTTCAGAGGCTGCCAGACCCAGATACCAGCTCCAAAGCAGCATGGTAAACTCAGGCTCAGTCAATGGATGTTTTTTTTATGTTTTATTTCAGTACTTGAACAGTAGAGAGGGGTGAGGGCGCAGGATACTCCAAAAATGCAAGCAGGTACAGGAGAACAGATTCTCAAGCAAAAATCCTTCAGCAGCAAACTTAAATATTGCTGGAGGTAGAGGGGACAGTCAATCCATATGAGACTCTGCAAAAGCAGTTACAGTCCTTATAGCTACCTTTGGTGTCTATCCCCAAAATCACAGGCACACTTGAAGCTCTAGGCAAAGGTCCTACTCACAACGTCCAAAGACAGCTTCCCTGGGGCACTCTTCAGCGCAAGGAGGTCCTTCTCCAGCCCATGTTCAATGTCCTCCAGCAGATATCGTTCAGGCCCTCAGCCAAGCACATGCTGAGTCCTAACAGCAACAGACCTTCAGTAGCACAGGCTGCCACCCAGGGCAGGGGCCCCAGGAGAACAGAACTCAACAAACCTTCCCAAACATTTGACTTCTCCCCAGCCTCCTTCTGGGTGCCCCCTCTCAGGGATTGGCTGAGGTCAGATAAATATTCATAATCCAGTGGCTGACCCTCCCTTTTCTGGAAACTTCTTTAAGAGGCAGGCAGACGCAATCAACCACCAGCTTAGGGATAGACCTGACCAGATCTGAAAAATAAATTGCTGCTTAACCGAGTACAGCAAAGCCAAAATGTAAATGTATCCAGTCTAGGGCAGGGCACTACACAATAATTAAAAATGAATAAAAGCTGACTATTGTAAGCACCCCTGTCACTGTTAAATGGTTTGTCTCAATACTCTAACTGCTTCTATGTCTGGACAGATTACTTTGCTGAAGGAACTTGAAAAATAACAGACTTACTGGCCAAATCACCAGGTGAAAATAATAGAAAAAAAACCTAAAAAACGAATGTAGCCATCACTTCTAAGAATTAGTGAGCTGCAATATATTATTATTTTGTTTTGGGTTTATTACCACTTCAACTGCAGTTTAAAAAATTTGAGTCTTCAATCATGCACTGTTGCATAAGTGGCCTGGGTAAATCTCAGAACTGAATGGACAGAAATATCATTTCAGTGACTTAGGATATTAGTGTAAGACTGTCATAATGATCTTTAGACAACTAGTTGTTTTTGAATGATATGTCGGCAAGGGCAACCTTCACATATCTCCCATGACAGATTTCCTTTGATGACCAATAAACAGAGTTGGGAGTAAGTGGACTAACATTATCCTCCGTTAAGGAAAGATGGTATTTGCAAATCAGAGCATCTAAGGTTTTGGGGTTCCCATAGCCCTGGCATATGATTTGAAAGTTAAAGGATAGGTTCACCTTTGGGAACATGTTACATGTTCCACCTGTTTTTAGGGTGGAACATGTAACATGTACCCATAGCTGCAGTTCCCTCTGACAGATAGTATGGGGAAACCTCTCCCCGTACTATCTGTCAGATTTGAAAACAGCACGGCTGTGCGGGGCTCCGCCCACACAGCCACACCATTCATTTACAGTCTTCATAATGAATGAACTACAAGTCCCGACAGCCTTAGCAGCTGTCTGCCTGTAGTTTTCAATGAACTACCATGGCACTGTGGAGCGCTGTGGTAGTTCTTTGAAGCTTCCTGTCAGTATATTAGCTTGCCAGTACATCCCGTATGATAAACAGATATTCCGACAGGTCTGCAGGAGACCTGCATGGCATCAGCGATCTATTGTTCACTGGTGTAATGCTTAAAACCTGGGGCTATATAAATGAATAAAATTATATACAGATTGGTGCTGTTTTGTGATGTGGCTTCAAATACAGCCCTTCACACTTTTCCTTCTACATAAACAGTAAACATGTCTTATTTGCCATCTGAAACACACTATTTCTTGTTACTCTCACAGAAAAATCCCCCAACAGATGAGTTGGGGGGAGGGGGGGTTTAAAGAGTCCCAATAATAATTTAGATAATGGCTGTTTGAACTTGCACAGGAGAGAAGAAGAAAAAAATATGACATCAAAAAATATTTACATGACCCATTTTTAGGGTTTTTGTATCTAAATGACTTTTTTAATTCTGGATTGAGTTAAAGTTAGAACCCCTGTTAGGTTTTTATCGCTCTATAGCTCCACTTTGGAGATGCACCCTGTCTATTTGTCATGGTGATCACTGTCACTGAAAATAATGGGAAGACTGAGTTGTCATCAGGAAAGCAATATAAGGGAAATCTTCCGAAGGTGAGATCCCACTTGCAGCAGTGCTATAGTATGGGTGGATGGGGGGAAATGGAATGCATGTGATTTGGGGGATATTAAGTGCCATTTACTTAATTAATTATTTATTACAGATATTTATATAGATACAATCATTTTTTAAAAAAGTTATTTTGGCACAGAAAGCGTAATATTTTAAAACATTGATACTGTTTTTATTCATGTCTTTATCTAAATAACATTTATCCTGCCTATGCTGTATATCCAACATCAGACCAACAGTGCCTCAATAATTGGACACAGCATATATATGAAACATTGAAGCAATGGAGATTAGTAGTTACGGGGAGAAAGTTGGGGGAACATAACTAAAATTTGGGCATAAACTACGCCGCTCAAAAAACTTAAAGGAACACTTTTTAATCAGAGTCTAGCATCGTCAATTAAACTCCTGGGATATTGATCTGGTCAGTTAAGTAGCAAAGGAGGTCGTTAATCAGATTCAGCTGCTTTGGTGAAATTAATGACAGGTGCACTAGATGGGCAACAATGAGACGACCCCACAAACAGGAATGGTTTCACAGGTGGAGGCCAGTGACATTTTTTTCCCTACTCATCTTTTCTGACTGTTTTTCACTAGTTTTGCATTTGGCTAGGGTCATTGTCACTACTGGTAGCATTAGGCGATACCTGGACCCTACAGAGGTTGCACAGGCAGTCCAACTCCTCCAGGATGGCACATCAATACATGTCATTGCCAGAAGGTTTGCTGTGTCTCCCAGCACAGTCTCAAGAGCATGGAGGAGATTCCAGGAGACAGGCAGTTACTCTAGGAGATCTGGACACGGCCGTAGAAGGTCCGTAACCCATCAGCAGGACCGGTATCTGCTCCTTTGTGCAAGGAGGAACAGGATGAGCACTGCCAGAGCCCTACAAAATGACTTCCAGCAGGCCACTGGTGTGAATGTCTCTGACCAAACAACCAGAAACAGAGTTTATGAGGGTGGCCCTGTGCTCACTGCCCAGCACCATAGAGCTCGATTGGCATATGCCATTGAACACCAGAATTGGCAGGTCCACTACTGGTGCCCTGTGCTTTTCACAGATGAGAGAAGGTTTACTCTGAGCACATGTGACAGACATGAAAGGGTCTGGAGAAGCCATGGAGAAAATTATGCTGCCTGTAACATCGTTCACCATGACCATTTTGGTGGTAGGTCAGTGATGGTCTGGGGAGGCATATCCATGGAGGGACGCACAGACCTCTACAGGCTTCACAATGGCACCCTGACTGCCATTAGGTATCGAGATGACATCCTTGGACCCATTGTCGGACCCTATGCTGGTGCAGTGGGTCCTGGGTTCCTCCTGGTGCATGACAATGCCCAGCCTCATGTGGCTAGAGTATGCAGGCAGTTCCTGGAGGATGTAGGAATTAATACCACTGAATGGCCCCCACACTCGCCTGACCTAACTCCAATAGAACACTTTTGGGATATCATATTTCGGTCCATCCGACGCTGCCAGGTGCACCTCAGACTGTCCAGGAGCTCAGTAATACCCTGGTCCAGATCTGGGAGGAAATACCCCAGGACACCATCCATTGTCTCATTAGAAGCACGCCCTGATGTTGTCAGGCATGCATACAAGCACGTGGGAGCCATACAAACTTCTGAGTACCATTTTGAGTTACTGCACTTAAATTTCTGCAAAATGGACTAGCCTGCTGCCTAATTTTTTCACTTTGATTTTCAGGGTGTCTTTGAATTCAGTCCTCTGTAGGTTGATAATTTTCATTTCCATCAAATGATGGAGCATCCTTACGTCCCTAACACATTACCCAGTCAATGTCAGTATAGATTTCCAGCATGATATTTTTCCCCATTGAGATCTGATGTGTTTTCAAAGTGTTCCTTTAATTTTTTTGAGCAGTGTATATAATTAAGCATAAATAGTAGGATTCTTTCTATATATAGGAAAACAGTAATACAAAGCATATTGAAAATAACCTCTACATAAATGTTTCCAATATTTGTTTTTTTTTCAGACATTGGTCCCAGGTCACCATGATGAACCTGACACCAAGCCAGTGTCTGGAGTCATTGGCCAAGCGCAATATTAACATTATTCTACTGCATTACAATGAGACTGGACGACTAAGAGGACGACCAAGGGCAGGTGTCACTTTCCTGACCATACTTTTCATTTTTATCAGCATTCTCATCATTTTCGAAAATTTCATGGTGCTGCTGGCCTTGCTCAGGTATGAAACTGTACAAAATAATTTTGTTAAAGGTAATCCTAAAGTGGAACTAAGCTTAAAAAAAAGGGGCTGACTGGCAGGGTTTTAAAGGCAGAAGAGACCCTGATGGTTTGTTCTGCCATAAATGCTTCCTCCAGCCAGTCATTGGCGATGTACACGAGCTGCACATGCTCAGCTCAGAGTACACTGCAGCACCTACTGTGCACATGCATGGAAGTGATAGAATTGTGGCCCAGGTATTCAAGACGCAGGACAGAATAAACGTGGAAGGAAGACCAGGTGAAGCAATTTTTTTTATAAGTGAGCACATAATCCCTGTTCTCAGCTGTATAAGGGGCCTGGAGGAGGAGGGGGTGTTTCAACACAAGACTGATAACTAGGAGACAGGCAGGCTGTGCTTCCAGTAGAGCCAGAAAACTGACCACCCTTGAACGGATGAGCGTCTGTGCCTAGTATGGTCAGTTTGAAATAGGAAAGCAAGGAGACAGACCGGAACCAGGTATTTCACACAAAGAAAACAATATAAAGAGGACAGGATACCTTTTAACACAAGTACATGGTTCAACAGACACATATTTGGAATATGAAATGTCGGGGTAACATATCCTTTAATTAATATAAATTAAATACCCAAATAAGAATAAGGGGAAAGATTTGCTGGCAAATTCAACAGTGAATCTTTTATAACAATTTGCCCATCTGACACTGGACCACTTTGGCCTGGCATTTTTTGTCCACATTCAGTTTATTTATAATAGGGTGAATGTGCACTAGGTGAATGTGGGGAGCCGGTGAATGTCGCTTTTGCAATTAATCTGTCAAAGCAGGTTTTAATCTGGCAGGCCAATCTGCCAAATGGAGCTTTCCATAGTTTGAATATGGTTTACATTTTTCGTACTACAATGTTTAAATGTATTTGTTTTTTGTGTTCTTTTTTCTGCAGCATGCCACCCCCACCAACCACTCTTATCCCAATGGCAAGAGGACAAAAATTTCAGTTCTCTCCCCCATGTACCCCATTCAAAAAACACTGACAGCCACTGACTTTTTGGCATTGTTGGTGCCCAGGGGGTTATGTGTCACCTACTGTGCCCCATGGTGGACAATTAGGTGGCTCCTCCTGGTAAAGAGGTTTTTACAAGTCTATTGGACTAAAACAGGTGTCTCCAAACTTTCTAAAGAAAGGGCCAGTTTACTGTCCTTAAAACTTTAGGGGGCCGGAATTTGCCCAGTGGGAGTAAACAATGCCTGGTCTTCGGTTTAAGGGAGAGAAATAGTTGGTGTCAGTCGGAGAATAGTACCCCATTTTTGTTGTTAGTGGAAGGAATTATGCCCCATGGTTGGTGCCAGTGGAAGGCATAGCGCCCCATTGTTGGTGTCAGTGGCAGGAATAATGTCTCACGGGCCAGATAAAAGCAATCAAAGAGCTGCATCAGGCCCCAGGGCTGCAGTTTGGAGGCCACTGGACTAGAGTGAATGATGTCCAGTTAATTTGGTTGTATTTTGTACGGTGAATGTCACGGGTTTTGTGTCATCCTATGTCACATTATGCGAGTTGGATTGCTTTCTACAACTTGTCACTAATTTCACTTAACAGACATGTTATGATTGAAGCCATTAAAGCTAATTCTTAATTCTTTTGTCTTTCAGATTTCTGCGCTTAAAACGGTGGGTTCACTGCTGTTTAACAAACATTGCATTCAGTGATCTTCTGGCTGGCATTTCATACCTACTTAATGTCTGCCTCTCAGGACCCACTACGTTCCGGCTGACTCCACAACTCTGGTTTCTAAGGGAGGGTCTCCTCTTTACCACTCTAGCTGCCTCCACCTTTAGCTTACTGATAACTGCTGTGGAGCGGTACAGTACCATGGTGATTTCAATGGCAGAGCGGCAACCTGACAAGCTAGTGCGAGTTCAGGGACTGATTATCTTAAGCTGGTTAGTAGCTGTTGCAGTTGGGTCCTTACCTTTGCTTGGATGGAACTGCCTATGTCACATCGAAGATTGCTCCAGCCTTCTTCCACTTTATTCTAGGACCTATATTGTATTTAGTCTTGGACTCTTAGGTATTACTCTGCTGGGTATAATTGGATTTTATTGTACTATATATTACTTTGTGTGTACAAGTGCCAAACGTGTAGCAGCCACCAACCAGAGTCGACGCGCCTTCCACTTGCTTCACACCGTTATCATCATCCTGGGCTGCTTTGTCATCTGCTGGAGCCCACTTTTTCTCTATCTTTTGGTGGATTCTGCATGTACTCCTCCTTCTTGCCAATCTCCCCTGGGACTTGAGTGGGTTCTGGCTTTAGCAGTTATGAATTCAGCTTTCAACCCACTTATTTATTCACGGAGCTCAGAGGTCCGTAAAGCAATACTGGCAGTCCTATTCTGTGCCTGCAGTTGGGCTGGAGTGCAACCACCTGCATGCTGCCAGCAAGCCACAGAAATCACTTCAGGTTCTTCAAATGAGAGTTCAATTAAACGAAGAAGCAGCGTACGCCTTTCACGAAACTTTAGCTTTAGGAGTCCTGTCACCAGTATTTCAAGTGTGCCTAGTCAGTGATCCTGCCTGAAAGGCCATGATGGTAAAGTATGACCTCAGCAGTCTAAAGTATGACAGTGGACAATATATCCAATCAGTCAGTCACACAATGTTCAATGCACTTTAGCTAGCACAATTATAAAAAATGTGACAGTAAAACTAAAGACTCTCATATGACAATCTTAGTCCCAAATCCAGTTGCTATGTAACACAAAAGCCCCATGTATTGAACAGAAATCACTTTTACTAACTCTGACTGAGCCAAATTCTCCTTCATTTGTGTCTCACATGTTTCCCCTTCCAGACACTGCAGCTCACAATGGGAGGGTTTCAGCAACAGAGGCAGTGCAGCCAATCCAGAAAACAGTGGGTGGACCTAGGTGTGGCCAGGTGCTGATTGACATTCTACAAGCAGACACAGCCTACATGGTAGTGGCAACGCTCAGAATTCAGGTGCAGTGCAGCATCATTCTCACACCATCACAGGAAGCTGCATTAGGTGGACTTTACTGGCAGGATCAACAGGTATTTTTGGGACTTTGATGAGGAACTAAAGCTGGCCTTACACCTGTAGATTTTTGAATGAACGTTTGTACAAAAAAGTATCATGAGTACATTTAATATTGCCAACAAAGCTTTGATTAATGTTGTTTGAAAGTACTTCAAAACGTAGTTTGCTTTTAATATTAAATGTTAAATGAATGGAATTTCCCAAATGAAAACCACGTACACTGTTAGAAATTTGTTCATTCAGGAAAACTTTTCCATCCAGCTGCTTCAAATTTTCTCATCACTATGCTCTAAAATGAATGATTTGACCCCATTAACAATTAGAAATTGGAACATTTAACCCTGGTTCACACTGATGCGGTGCGAATTCCGCACCACATCAGAATCGTACCCCGTTCATGCGAACTGCTGCGGGTGTGTATGTTAACAACACTCCGAAAGCAGTCAGCAAAACGTGGTACAATGTGCAGAATCGGATCACATAGGTGTGAATACCCATGCAATCCGATTCTAGTGCGGTTCTGTACATTTTGGGTGCGGTGTGATTAGAGCCACCGCATACAAATTGCATGTGCTTTGCACAGGAATGCGGTGCAGTTCCTATGTGAATCACATGCGATATACCACAACGCACAGGGGAGGACTGACCATTTGGAAACTCGGGCACTGCCCGAGGGCCCGGGGTCAGTAAGGGGCCCCATGAGATGCCCCTGGTACCTTTTTCATAGGCTTTTTTGAGTTTGGGCAAGGACACAGGGGCCCCATGATCCCCTATTGCCCGGGGGCCCCATGAGTTGTCAGCCCACCCCTGGCACCGCATATATGTGAACCCAGGCTTAAAGTAGTAGTAAACTCTCATATTCTATTTTTACCTGCAGGTGAGCTTATAATAAATCTACCCTGTAGGTAAAATGAATATCTCCTAAACGTGCACCATTTAGGAAATAGCAGCAGCCGGTGAGATCACCGACGCATGTGCTCTGAAGGAACGGCATATCCGTGCCATTTCCTTCAGAGCTGTGTGCAGCGGCCTGAGATGTTATCGCAGTTCGGCCAGTCAAGTGGACACAACCCGGGAACCGGGTGAAGATGGAAGACTCTGCAGCGGTGACAGCGCACAGCTGGAGGGCTTCGTTTTAAGGCAAGTCCTTCATAATGTGCTAGTATGAAACGTATACTAGCACATTATGCCTTTGCCTTGCAGGGGGACTTATTTTTTCCTAGCGTTTACTACTGCTTTAATAGAAAACGGTAAGTGTGCTTAGAAATATGTTTGCAGGGCTTATCCTTTTTAATGGATGGCCATAGTTTTAACATTTAAATGCTAACTTAACCCTTAACAACATGTTACATATTACACCTGTTTTAGGGTGTTAGCCCTGGCTCACACCAAATGCGATTTCAAAGTGGTGCGATTTGGTCCCATTTAAAGTGCAACTTCAAAGTAGCGCTGATATTGACGCAGGTGCAATTTCAGTGCCATTTATCTTATAGTCTATGAGAGTTAAATCGCACTGAAGTGGTGAAAAATTAATGCAGGAAATATTTTTCAAATTGCGCTACTTGAAATCGCACCTATTAACACTGCCATAGAAATACATTAGATATCAGGTGCGACTTGTAAATCACATTTCACACTGGTGTGAACCAAGGCTAACATGTAACATGTTGCTAAGCATCCCCCTCACCCCCTGAGCCCCAGAGCTATACCTGCTGCTGATTTGTTTAAAGCTGAATTCTGGGTATTGCACAAAAAATATCCTTGCAATGGAGCCCCCTGCAATGCAAGGGTTAAATGCTTGTTAACAACTTGCCTACCGGGTACTTTTATCCCCTTCATACCCAGGCCAATTTTTAGCTTTCAGTGCTGTCATATTTTAAATGACAATTGCACAGTCATGCAACATTGTACCCAGATTACATTTTTATCATTTTTTTTTCACACAAATAGAGCTTTCTTTTGGTGGTATTTACTCACCGCTGGGTGTTTTATTTTTTTGCACTATAAACAAAAAAAGAGCAAAAAATTTGAAAAAAAAAAGTTTTTCTTTATTTCTATTATAAAATTTTGCAAGCAGGTAATTTTTCTCCTTCACTGATGTGCATTGATGAGACTGCATTGATAGGCAGAACTGATGGACACTGATAGGCAGCACTGATGGGCACTGATGAGGTGGCACAGATAGGCAGTACTGATGGGCACTGATAGGCTGCACTGATGAGAAGGCACTGATTAACAGCAACGATGGGCACTGACTGGCGGCACTGATGGGCACTGAAGAGGTGGCACGGATAGGCAGTACTGATTGGCACTGATAGGCTACACTGATGAGAAAGCACTGATGATACTACACTGATATGCATCAATGATGGGCACTGATGGGCGATGCTGACTGGCGGCACTGACTGACAGCATTGACTGGTGGCACCAATGGGCACTGCTGGGTGGCACTGCTGGGCGACACTGCTGGGCACTAATGGGAGGCACTTCTGGGCACTGGTGGAAGGCACTGCTGGGCACTGATCATCCGTGCCCAGATGATCAGTGCAGATGTCCTCTGTGACAGTTGCGAGTTATTGATAGTACTTTCCTCACGCTGTGACAGTCAATAACCATGCTGCCGACAACCGTCAACTGTATTTACTCGGTGATCTGTTGCGTCATTGGACACAGCTGATCACATGGTAAATGCCCGCTGTGACTGGCCTTTTACCTCATCATGTGATTGGCTGTGTCTGTAAGACACGGCGATCATGGACAGCGCTGGGTGTGCGCCGCTGGGGGCGCACGTGAGGGCGCGTTCTGGGAGGACATCCCACAAATGGACAACCGTGCTGTAGCCGTCAGTCGGCTATACCGCGATTGGCAAGTGGTTAAATTGAGGGGCAGGGGAATAAGGTGCAATACTTTATTTCTATCTCTGGTAGGATCCCTCCATCTGTGTAACCAGTCCCCATAGTGTAATGCAGTAGGGCCACAACCAGGAGCTCCAAAGAGAAGAGGAAAGCACTGAAGCCTTCTGGAAGGAGGAATAAGGTAAGTATTACACCTTACTCCTCTACGCCTAGACTTACACCCAGATATCGGGCAAACAAATTTCATTGAAATATACTCCTCCCACAAAGAATATAAATCCACTCTGTGTGCACCAAATGCCTTTGTAAACCCAGTTAAGACCCTATAAAAGTAGTAGCATCATCATCAATGAGCTGTTCATAGGTTGGCCAGAAAGCAGAACTGTGGGATGGACCCAGCAGGCTCCACCCACTACAGACTGCCTGCAGAAGACTACAAAAGGGGTGGATACAAAACCAGTCACCCTGCACAAGACGAAAGAGCAGCAGTGACTGGTCTATGCTCCTCAAAGTTTTATTCTTTTATACTGGAATACTGCACAGATCTAAACAAAATACACACAGCACACCAAGATTCAGGCAAGTATACACACAACCAGGGGCAGACTGACCATTTGGAAACTCGGGCACTGCCCGAGGGCCGGGGTCAGTAGGGGGCCCCATGAGATTCCCCTGGTACCTTTTTCATAGGCTTTTTTGAGTTTGGGCAAGGACACAGGGGCCCCATAATCCCCTATTGCCCAGGGGCCCCATGAGTTGTCAGTCCGCCCCTGTACACAACACTTATATTTCAACAATAACTGTATTACCAAAATTCAACTTTAACGGGCTTTTAACCCTTACAGTGCAGGAAGTGGAGTTCAGCTTTGAATAGACACACTGTTCCCCGATTTACTAAAACTGGTGAAGATCTGCATAGTAACCAATCAGCTTCCAGGTTTTATTGTCAATGCTTAAGTGAGCAAGCTGCATTTAGAAGCTGATTGGTTACTATGCACAGCTCACCAGATTCTGTGTGCACCAATTTTGGTAAATCCCCCCATTAATTCCTTTTTTTGTGCTCCTTTCTGAGGGCTAAATGGGAGGAAAAGGCTACCTGCTTACATGATCACTTCCAGTGTTTCAATGACAAACAGTACAATAAGTCAATCACATTAGCAGGAAATCATGTCTGAATTTTTTTAGTCAAATTTTCATATCATAAATTACAAAATAGTAGTAATTCTATATATTATCATTTTTTGGATGGGACAGAATAGTGTTTCATTCACTCTTTGTGTTTATTGAGATCCAGGAGAGACAAATAGAGGGTATATTTAAATAAAATTGCATACCCATTCACCCAGTGAATCTGCATGTATTTTTGCTCTGTGTGTGCTATGGCCACTAGATGGAGGTGAGGAGCATGGGAAATACATGTAACAATTCTAGAAAATACTAGAGAGAATTAGCAAATATATGTAACCCATTACATTGCATCTCTTGTTACATGTTACCATCTAGTGGCGTAAGGTGGTATTTCTCTACTGCCCATAATAAAGGAACATTTGTTCAAAACAGAAAAAAAGTTTAAGGAACAATTGTTTTACCCAATTCAAACAGAACAAATGTAAAAAAATTCAAACAAAAAACAAATTTGCTGGATGAATAGCATG